TAATATAGTAGTTCAATTTCCAATTTTGTTTATGTTTGTTTCATATTTTGGGGAGAAATGAAAATGAGATAGAATACTATTGAATTTGTAGGACACGATTCACCCTATAAGGATAACACACATTCGTTCTTCTATTATACAGTGGAAATTGTTGATTGATTGATCGATTTGTTTTTTACGATTTATCAACCCTTTATGGGTTTTTTAAAGCTGAAACATACTTTAAATAGTAGGAAGTTGCTTACAGTAGCTGGTGTTCTCAAGCAGTCACACATCTAAGTATTGACTAAACTTGAAGCCACTTAACTTTGTTGATTGAACAATAACTGATGTTTTCGGCATGATTTGACTGTAGGTGTACAAAGGAGAAGGAAAGAAAAATATTTTATTGATGATTTCTGGAATGAGAGTTTATTATTTTTTTTAATGCTCTTTTCTCAGCTTTCTCATTGCATTATGGGAAGATAAACAATAGTCAATTACTTCAAAGGGAATATGACCAGGAAACAAACTATCTGATATTTTCTATGTTTATTGATACAATAAATCAATATAGGTTGTGGATCAATTTGTTTCATCTCATAATAATTATCAAGAATAACATGAAAAATGTTAACCCTCCTTAAATACTTTCATTTATTTTTAAATTTTTAGTTTCAATATCAAGGATTTATCATCATACACTTGTTTTTTGGGGTTTTTTTTTGCATAAGTGAACCTGATTAGAATTGGAAGTTGGTTTTCTAATCTCTAATTCTGAACTGTGATCCATTATATTACCCGCATATCCAAACTTACATTACTTGGTATTCTCAAGTAATCATCCATCTAGGTACTGACTAGGCTCAATGCTGCTTAACTTTAATGAGTTATTTTCTATGAACATTACAAATAATAAGAATATTTACTATGAAAAGAATCATCCACAGAATCAACTTACACCTTTACATACAGAGCTTTGTTGTAAAATATAAACGTTTTTTAAATTATTCAAAGTTTATTTGAACTATAAGTTACGGCTCTCAGTAACCACCAATGTTGATCATTCTTTGTATATAAATGACTTGGTATTATCTAACCACACCTACATTTTGTTCCAGTTATTTATCTTCAGAGATGTCTATATAATTATATAAAAATGTGTACAACATGTAAAAAATAATGAATTCCTGATCAACACAGTTTAGGTCAGTGTGTTTTCAATTAATGCAGTTAGTAATTTTTCTCCTTGAGATTAAGCTGTTTAGTACTGTAATAAAAGAAAAAAAGAATGAAAACGAAAACTAATATCTCACTTGACCTTTTAAAACTTTCTCTTTCGTTGTTTTATATCATAAAAAGATTGTCAATAATAACTGATCATTAAGCAATTATCACTTCTCAATAAAGCCTATCATTTTATTTCAGTATTTTTGTGACTTCACTCTATCTACATATTCATAACTGCAAGCGTATATGCACCTTACAGCAATTCTGTGGGAGGCTTGTACACGTAACCAAATCCCAAATCCTACACAGGGCTATTGTAGTGAAATGTAGATTAATTAATTAACATATCAAGAATACCTAGGCTTTATAATGATTTTGATTGTGAGGAGGAGGGGCTACACGTGAGCATTGAGTAGTAACACAAAGGACTTAGGACTTCACAACAATGGCGTTGCCGATAGAATACACTTTATCATTAGGGAATCCTGATTTTGTGGATGCATGGTAAGAGCATTCACGCCTAAAGCAATGACTAAGAAATTAAGAGAGAGCAAAGAAACAGGAGGATAAAATTAAATAATTGATCTTTTTTGGTCACAGCTGGGGTCAAAGCCATTATGAAAATTTAAACTATAGCTCACACAATGCAGTTGAAAAGTTTGACTTTCGATGAAATAAGTCAGATAATACAGAAAAATATGCAACTAAAAAAGGGGTTAATCATTGGAAAGAGAGAGAGCAAAATTCATTGATATGAGACAAGAAGCTGAGGAACCGGTTACAAAATTTTTACTTCATCTAAAAAATGCATCTCAAAATTGTGAATTTGAAAAACTCTGAGAAGAAAGTCAAATGACTGAAGAAGAATTAATTCAATTGAAGTTAATTGACAGACTGACGTGTCTTTGTCTACCTGCATTGAAGTTATTCAACAGCAGGAACTAATACAAAAATTTAATAAGTCAGAGAATCAACCAGATTATATAGAGGCTGACACTTACATGTTGAAGAAAACTGTAACAAAATGTAGATACTGTGGATATGAACATGGCATTTACAAAGAGAAATGTTCTGAATTTAGAAAAGAGTGTAAAAATTGTCTAAAAATGAACCATTTTCAAGCGATATACAGATTTAAAAAGAAAAATTGAAAAAACTACGAAACAAATATAGAAATTCCCCCACAAAAAGCCAAAAAAAAAAAAAAACGTTTTTATTAAAAACGCATATAAATGACATACTATTGGACATACAAATGGATACTGGCAACAAAGAAACTTTTGGAAGTGTATAGGCAAACCAAAATTACATAAGAGCCATATGTAACTACACCAATTTGATGGATCAGTTTTAAAAGACATAGGGATATTTCAAAGGTTGCATGGAATCGAAAAACAAATTCGAAATAATACACATCATTGTTTTCAGATTGCAAAAAAAGACACAAAACAGCTACAATGAGAAAAATGGGAGTAGCATACAAGTCCAAACAGATCAAATAAGACCACGAGATGAATACAAAAGGTGTGGAGTATCCACTCACACCATAGGAGTAGTGGTAGTAGAATTTTAGGCTTGTTTTTACAAAGATAAAAACGGGAAAAAATGTGCACAATACAGCGAAGGCATGAATAATTGTATGGTAATTTCATACAATTTTATTTATGTATCTGTGTGTATTGTGGTGTGTGCATTTTACATTGCAATTGTGATAATGTTCATGATATAAAAGGGAGAAGTTGCTCAGTAATATCACAAGTCCTATCACAGAGGAAAGTTACAGACGTGTTGTCATCCCGACAGTTCTTGGATTAAATCTCACGTCTTTTGGCGTGATGTCCGTATTTCCGACAGAAAAAGGTTTTTTTTTGCATGCTAGGAGTAATTTTATTATTTTTATTTAATTTATTTTAAAGAAGGTATTATTGTTTTATTTTATTTATAAATTTCATTGTTATTATTATTATTTTATTTACTTGTAACAATAATAAGATCCCTACAGAGGAAAGTGATGAAGAAATGTGCACGGATTCCTCAAGTAATGAAAGTGCTGAACAAAAATGACCCCTACCCTTGCAGGAAATATCTGACAAAGAAATGTCAAGTAATGATAGTGTTGAAAAAAAAACGAAATCTACCCATGCAGGAGGAAATGTCTGAGGAAGAAATTTACACAGATACCACAAGTACTGATAGTACTGTACAAAAAAGAAACCTACCCTTGAAGGATGAAATATCTGATGAAGAAATGTACACGGATGCCTCAAGTAATGATAGTGCTGAAGAAAAACGAAACCTACCCTTGAAAGATGAAATTACTGACGAAATGTCTCCGGATGCCACAACACATGATGAACACAAACGAATTACCTTTGCAGGACGAAATATCTGAGTAAGGAATGTCCGAGGATACCTCGAATAATGATATTGCTGAACAAAAGTGAAACCTTCTCCTGCAGGATAAAATGTCTGACGAAAAATGTCCACGAATACCTCAAGTAATGAGAGTGCTGAACAAAAACGAAAATAAATAAAAAAATCTGACAAAAGAATGTCAACGGATACCTTAAGTAATGATAGTCCTGAACAAAAATTAACCATGCCCTTGCAGGATGAAATACATAAAGAAGAAATATTCACGGATACCTCAAGTAATGACAGTGCTGAACGAAAAATAACCGTACCCTTGCAGGATAAAATGTCTGACGAAGAAATGTCCACGGATAGCTCAAGTAATGATAACGCTGTACAAAAACGAAACTTACCCTTGTAGGATGTAATGTCTGTGGAAGAAATGACAATCGGCGCCTCAAGTAATGATAGGGCTGTAGAGAAACAAAAGCTACCCTTGCAGGATTAAATTTCTGACAAAAAAAATGGCTACGTATACCTCAAGTAATGACAGGGTTGAACAAAAACGAAACTTATGCTTGCAAGATGAAATAGCGGAGGAAGAAATACAGAAACAAAAGCTACACTTGCAGGATTAAATTTCTGACAAAGAAATGTCCACGTGTACCTCAAGTAATGACAGTGCTGAACAAAAACGAAACCTACGCTTGCAGGATGAAATATCTTAGGAAGAAATTTCCATGAATACCTCAAGTAATTATAGTGCGGTACAAAAACGGAGCCTGCCCTTGCAGGATGAAATGTCTGGCGAAAAATGTCCACGGATACCACAAGTAATGATAGTGCTGAACAAAATTTAAACATACCTTTGCAGGATGAAATATATGAGGAAGAAATGTCCATGGATATCTCAACTAATGATAGTGCTGAACAAAAATGAAGCATAACATTACAGAATAAAATGTCTGACAATGAAATGTCTACCGATATCTCAAGTAATGATAGTGCTATAAAAAAAAAACAAAGCCTACCATTGTAAGATGAAATGTCTAAGGTAAAAATGTCCACAAACGCCTCATCAAGTAATGATAGTGCTGAACAAAAGCAAAGCCTACCCTTGCGGGATGAAATATCTAACGAAAGAATGTCAACGGATACCACAAGTAATGATAGTGTTGAACAAAAATTAAACGTACCCATGCCGGATGAAATATATCAAGAAGAAATGCTCACAGATTCCTTAAGTAATGATAGTGCTGTACAAAAACGGAACCTAACCTTGCAGGATGAAATGTCTAACGAAAATGTTTCCCCGGATACCTTTAGTAATGATAGTGCTGAAAAAAACGAAACCTACCCTTGTACGATGAAATGTATGACAGAAAAATGTTCACGGATGCCTCAAGTAATAAATTATCTCAAGATAAATGTAGTGATGATCAAGAGGGACAAAATGATTCCAAAACTGAGGAAGACCAGTGAGTGTACGAATACGGCCATGGGAACGAAAGAAATATAGATCGATCAAGATCTCCCAGAGAAAGAAATACCTTAAGATCCCAGGAGAGAGAAAGATACCCTGAAAACGAAATGATAGAAGAATCACAAGAAAACAATGGGCACAAAACCTTTCATTACTGGGTGATATATTGATATGTACATTAATATAAATGAAATACCCAGGCTATATAATAACTATAATTAGGAGGAGGAGAAACTACGTATGAACATTGAGTAGTAATATGAAGGACTTAAGGATTCACAACAACTATAAAATAACTCATCATATGAAAAAGATTTTATATTGCCACCAGAAAGTTCAAATCATTTGTGTATATGGAAATATGGCATTCCCCAAAATATATTCATAATTGAAAAAAAAAAAAAACAATATATAAAAATTTAATAATAATGTCCATTTGTAAAGAATTCTGTAAAGTTAATCTTGTATTTTTCTATAATCTTTTTTCTTTATAACAAAACATTTTTTGACAATTTTTATACATAATTTATGCATTTGTTTTTCGCAAGTATCTGTGTTTTTCTATCATGTAATTTAAGGTGATTCAATGTTTAGGATAACTTTGGCATTGATAGAACTCTATAGATATTTACTCAACAGTCAGTCTAATTTCATTATGCCTAAGGAATTTACAACAGACTATCTTGAAAATGAATTTGCTAAATAATATAATGTTCTGGCAGTGTACAATTTATAAAAATACAAAATGTTACTGAGAAATTTTATTAAAAAAAACTGAATTATTTTTTAATTGAAAGTTGAGACTAAAGAATATAAGTTTGATCCAGGCCATAATTATTCAAAATGTAGACATTTGCTTGATGAAGTAGAATGCCAAACATTTGATCATTTTTTTTTTTTAAGCGTTTCACCCCAAGCAAGGCGGGAAGCCACTAGGACGCAAGGGGTTACAGAAAATTACCAGACCAAGAATTTAGACTCTCCGAAGATATTAAAATGTCACTTTTTATAACCCAAGGTATGTTACGAAAAAGAGCTTTTTCCTGAGAGCAAGAAATATTTAATGAATGATACATTTTATTGTTATGACTATGGAGATTTCTTTTGAAAAAATAGATTTAAAAATTCCGCTGGATACCACAAGAAAAGCGAGAACGAAAAATGAAGAAAAAAAAAAACAAAAGGAAGAAAGAAAATGCAGAAGAATGCTCATATGATTCTTGTGTTAAATCAAAACAAAAGTTTCTATTTTAAGTAGAAGCAATGCTGTTTTTAAAATTCATGTTAGTTTCAGCTTTGGAAACTACCACTGGAATGTTATCCCTTGTGTGTGTGGAATACTTAAAGAACAGTTCAGGGCATGGTTTCTCTCCACTTGCTATTTTCTCACATTCAACCAACAAGTCATATGTGATGTTTTCATTGACCACAGAATCCTGCTTATAGTCTGCATGGGTCAACACAAATTTACGGGTCCATTGTGCCATTGTCATCAATTTACCTGTAACAAGATAAAAATGGAAAGTCTTTGAAACAAAATGAAACAAGTACCTCTCTGTCAGGATATGGAGATAACTTATAAAATAAGATGTTTTGGACATTGCTATATACCATATCTATGAACACTAATGGGTATGTCCCAATCTTCATAAATACGTTGGAAACTATTGTAGGTGCTGTCTAAGTAGTCCACCACCCGTTAGACATATCGAGACTACAAACACGATCCTTTTCACCGCACACAGCTGACATATCAATTCTACTTTCTCTATCCATTCAACCATGGATTTTTCAGAATCAGAGCCGCCAAATTCTGGTATTATTTTGGGGTCAAATCAGTTGGTCATAGTGCCGAAATAGGAGGATTTCTTTGGTAACAAAGAAAAGAATACTGAACTGTTATGTGACATGTGTCCTTCTTTACGGCAATGAATGTTGGATGACTTCCTCAAAGATGAAGAAGTGACTCGTGGTGAGAGAGAGATGTGGATCTACAGAAGGATGCTAAGGATATCATGGACCAAGTGTGTGAGCAACGACGAGGTCTTAGAGAGGTTGCAAACAAGGAGGAGGCTTATACTTAATATCGGGAAGAGGTAGCTGAAGTTTCTGGGACACATAATGAGGAAGGAGGGCCTGGAGAATCTGATACTCACGGGTTGAATAGAGGGAAAGAGAGACAAGGAAAAACAATGCATGACATACTTGGTGGACTTAAAAAAGTGGAAAATAGAACATGGTCTGGGGGAGGAAACAGAGGGAAGGAACATGTTGAGAGCTGCAAGGGATAGAGGGAGGTGGAGAACCATGATCGCCTACATCCTGAAAGGACATGGCACATAAAAAGAAAAGAATATATTTGTGGTAATCCATTTCACTTTCTTCAATGCCACATCTTTAACCTTGAAACTCACAGCTGGCCTGTTGAAACATACTCCTCACCGTCCATAATCCTCCTCTGCCAAAAGGCAAAATCTGCTAGCTTTTATGTGTGCCCCAGTCAGTTATGCAGATTTTTTCATGCCCATCTACAGGCATTTTATTAGTCCTAAGGCACTAGGTAATTTATATAACCGTGTATGGCATAGGCGATTTTGTGCCTCTTTCATCAGAGAAATAGGTTATGTCCAGTACACCTTTAAATAAGTTTTTGTGTATACAGGTGTCCATTTTGAGTTAGTAGACTTAGTCATCATTGAGACAAACAGGATTTGGAATTTCTGTTTGATTTGAAATAAAATTCATATTATTTGCATTTGGACTAATGTCTTTAACTTTTTTGTTATTATCACAACAACTCTGGCCTTTATCAGATGTTTGTTGGTCTATGTAACCATCAGAGAATTTTGAACTGAACTATTTATTTAATACATGGTTGGAGATTATATAAGTAATAAAAATTCATGCAAATCATTTTCATAACAATAATGGAATTATTGTAACTTAAAAAATATTTAGCATTTAACTTTTGATTGAATATTGTTTTTTTTAAGAGCACTAATCAAGGATATTTATTATCAATTATTTTAAACTTAACATTAATGAATACCATCAGCTTATATCTCTAGCAAGATGCCGGGGATAGATTCCTTAAACAAAACTGCTGTGATCAAAACAGAACATAGAGTAAACCTTGTCAATTCAAGATTATTTTTAAAGTACAAAGGCAGTATTTGTATAAATTACCTGAAGCTCTGTTTGAGATGAGTTGTAAATATTGCAGTACAGTACATCTTGTATCAACATCACATTCACTGTATTCCAAATATTTGTTCACAAGAGGAATTAAACCAGGAAAATCATCCTGAAAATAAAACAATTACTTCTGGTATGTGGACTGCTTACTCTCATTTGCTTTTTATGCTTTCATTAATTTCAGTCTCCAAATGGATTATATGACTGCTTTATTTAAATTAGATTATTTAAAGGTTATGTCAAAAACAGTGGTTTACAGTGAAGATCAATGGTCCTTGGGAATTAGTAAATTACTCCTGTCATAAGACAAAATTCATTTCCTGCAGGTCAAAATTAATTTCCATGCAAATTCAAAATATAAATATATAGAATAAAAAAAAAGAAAATAGTTTGCATTTAAAATTTCCCAGTACACATAACTATTAGATTCTTTTTAATATTGGAAAATCTTTGACAAATAAATACTTGAAAGGTTTCTAATGTTAAACATTTCTCTTCCTTCACAAACAAATTCAATTTTTAATCAAAGCACTACTTTTGTCTCACATATGCACACCATTAATTTCCTTTGATTGCTTCTCTAGAAAAATCAACTGAAATTAAGTGTCTAGGCAAAATCAAATATTATGACTTACTTTTCCATTAATGATTTCATTAATAGACATCAAAGTGTATTCTTCATCAATCTGTTGTTTGATCACTTCACGACAACCAACACATTCAGCAGCTTCAGGAAGAGAATTGGCTGCAAAAATAACCACATTTAATAAAATAAAACAAATCTAACAAACTTACAATTACTCCTCTTCAATTAAAACTATTTTTGATAAAAATTGAAGCCAATTACAAATGAAGTGATATATGAAGTAAGATTCCTTAAGTCATTTTACAAGAAGACTTTTGTACTTTGACCTGATTTGATAAAAAGAATGTCAAGAGTATTTCTCTGACACAAACACCAGCAAAAAACATTCATCAGGATGAAAGATTTTTGTTTTGAAACTAAAATCATTATTTATGAAATTCTTTCAAATAAAAATAGTAGTAGTTTTCTCATCTGTTCAAGAACCCTTTTATAAAACATAATAATTAATGAAAAATAGATTTGTGGCATGTTATGCACAAAGAGCTTCCTAGAAATAAAAATCTATCCAAGCAATAAATTACAGTATGAGACTCACTGTTAACAGGATGGACTCCATTCTCTGGGCTGAAATTTGTTTTATTTTCCATTGGTTATAAATAAAGCTGATGAGTTCAGTAACTGAGATTTAATCTCTGGTCATTTATTTTTCAGTCTGATAATCTACCTCTCAAATTTCATAATTGAAAACTATGCCACTATAAATTTATTGTAAAACAAATGCTTTCCAATGTAAATAATGTCAAGTTTTGTCAGAAAAAGAGAAAAGTAAAAAACAAAGCTGATACAAGAATCTTGCTTACCTGTGATGACATCTTTATGGAAATAAAACATCCCATTCCTTGCAGCATCATTTTTCTGAGCAGTCACCATATTTTTTTCAATCTGAAATTTAAAAAGATGTATTTAATATACTGAAGACACATTTCCTCTATCCACATCCAAACACTTCACTCTACTGTCATAAAAAAAAAATTAGGACAAAATATGGTACCATCTATAGTTTTATTTTATTTCTCATTTTTTCTTTAATATCTTATTATCTAATCTTGGAATGATTAAATCTAAAACCTTTGAGTTTAACTAAAATCTGATTTCTTCAGATTCAAGCTTACCACTGCAGATTATCAGCTTTGCCTCATGTACCACAAAGTTACAAGAGTGAAACTCCTAGTAAGGATCACTAGCAATGGCTTGCAATCACAGCATGTTTAAGTTGATAATTTAATTTGGAAAAGGTTTTATACATTTTTACCAAATTAGAATTTTTTTAATGTTCTTTTACTTGATAACTGAAACTTCCTACAAAATCTAAAGGCAATAAATGTATTTTTATGACTTACCTTTGAGATTGGAATCAGGAAATTGAGTTTAAATGTCAAAATGACCCTTGTTACCAGCACAATAAACACAACATAAGCAGCATTTTCAAAGTCAGACAATTGAACCTTCATAAAATAAAAATCAAATCAGGGATCAACCAATTTCATCTCAATCATAAAAACTGAAAAGATGAAATTTTGTATAAATAATTGATTCATGTTTTTTATATTTACTTCTTGTCATTTGGCCATTTAAATTTTAATTAAGCATGGTTTTGTCTAAATATTGACTATTTTAATTAGATTCTGAGGAGTTACATTTGCAAATGAAGAATTATAAAGATGGTTTTCTTACCTCCATTGGTCGGAATTCTACTCTCCAGCCAATATTGGAATTTGGAGGGGGAGGCTTGAACCTTAAAAATTGCCAATTAGTGGACTGAATATTCTGCAACATAAAATCATGTTAAATATTAATAACTTTTATCTATAAACATTTAAAATACAAACATTTCATTTCACTTGGTCCTCCTGTTCAGTTAGATATTTGTGCCAATCAGTTTTTTTTGATTGACTTTTAGCCATAAACTTTGCAGATTATATTTCAAAGATGATGTCAGTGTTTTTTAAAATGGTAAAGGGAATTTTTTTCAACAAAGATGAAAACTGAAAAAATAATATGTTAAAACAGATGAAGCTTTGATACTTTTCATAGCATAGATTTAATAATTTTTTTATCAAACAACCAAGAACTTTTATGTTGATAATCTAGAATAATTGATAAAATATTTAATCCTGTTTATTTCTGTTAATATTATTACTTTTTTAACATTCATCTATTTTGGCAGATTTTTATGAAGACTGCTTCCATTAAAAAATTTATAAATATTTGAAACTGAAAAGTTGGATGTATAAGAAGCCGATTTTTACTTTTATTTTCAGAGAAAAAATAAATTGCTTGAGGAACTGAAGAATGTTCTGCTACCAAAGTACCGAAACTGCATTGTTTTACTTCCCCTTTATTTGTCCTTTTCTTTAGTTTAGATACTTTTTAGACTGGTCACCATTTTTTACCACTTTCACATAGACCTTAGGGCATCACCGAAATCTCTGACAATAAAAGCATAACATCAAGTATGTGGTCAGTAGTTTCATCATCCTAATTCCAACATTATTGTTACCATCACCATTTTGCTGTCCTGCCTTTGAGAGTACGCATCTGTATGCATACATATCTAAAAGACTGACAGATAAACACCTTTTCATTTTACATATTCAATAATAATAAACTTCTGTCACCTCAAAATGATCTGTCTCTTTGCTGTCATCTTGGTGAATTTTTTCAGAGAATAAATAGAGTGGGTCCCGAATAAAGAGATGAGCAATGTGTTGAGCAAGGAGGTCATCAACATCTGGAGAAAGAAAAAAGTCAATCATAGAGCAAATCATAGAATTACTTTATAGAACATCAGAAAAAGGTTTGAAATATTGAGAAATTTCTTGTATTTCAAAAAATTAATTTATTTTAAAAAGTACTTGTTTTACTGGTTTTACTACTTATTATTTAGAGAATACCAGTAATTTCATACTAAAAATATTTCCTTACAACTTCTGCCCAAGTTAAATAATAAAAATATATTTCAAAGATCAATAAATGTTTACATCATTTATATGTTGAATAAATATACCTGCGTCCCTCAATTGTTTAAAGATTTCTTTGTCGTAGACAAAATCCAAATCATTGTAGCATTGGCCCATTTCAGAAAGATAACTCTCGATTGAATCAAAGCGGGTCTTGTTTATCAAAAACCGGTCATTTTTCAGTGGCTGCAACAATAGGAAATTTTGAAAATTAAGTGACAAACAGAATACACATCATTGTAATGGACTGTTAGGAAATAGGATATAATCTTATCAAGAGAAATATTTCCTGCTTTTATCATGAATTCAAAATAATATAAATTATAAAGATAATACTGAAAACATATTCTTAGACTTTTTTCAATGATATGGTATTTAGTAGCAAATTAATTAATCCAGAATCAGTTTGTGAGCTGAGATATTTTTTATTAGCAACTATATATTATGATAATCTACTCAACATTCCAGAAAAAGAATGACCCATGTTAAGGTGCTAGTATATACAGGGTGCAGCAGAAATACTGCCCACATATGCCATCTGGAAATAACTGCCAGATAATTAGTGGCAATGGTGTATTCATGTAGCTGATGTCTTCCCATTATGTAGGAGGTACTTCTGGAAGGTATGTGTGGGCAGTATGTCTGTTGTACCCTGTATATGCCTACAAACAATTTGTTCATGAGATAGCCTTCTTTTCATTTTGCAAATACTTTTTATTTATTGCTTCATATTCAAGCAACAAGATGAAAATTTTACACATGGAATTTGGATTCTTCACATTGATTTTCTCTATGAAAATCTAGTTCGTCTATCTTTCCCAACCTTGTCAAATTGTAAGTAAATTATTTCTAATTTATTAAGCATCTATTATTTTTCAAAGTATCTAAAAATTATTAATAAAAATGTATCAACAATTTTTGTTGTTTTTGAAGGCTTTTGTAGGAAAAAAAAATAAAAGTCTAAAGAACATTGTGAAATGTTGAATTTAAAAAGTTGTCATAATTTTTTAAGTCTCCAAAATTCCAACAAGGAATCACTAAAATTCTTCTCATTCTATGATTTATTTACTAGTATATCCTCAACCATTTTTCTCTCACCTTCCTTTTGTTATTTTGAAAGAAATCATTGCATAAAAAAATTCTTAATGAAATTAAATTGACTTTTTACCTATGTTGTTTATTCAATGTGACTGCTGGGCTTGATGCTCTGCTGCTTGATTTTCAATATTTGGATTGATATATAATCAGTTTTAATCATATCTTCTCACATACATATATCAGTTTTACTTTTTAGATCATATTTTATTGCCTGCACTAAAGCCACAGACAGCTAAATATGAATCTGGAATACCACAACAATACTTTAGACACTAGAAATCATTTTTTTATCTGAACAGATCTATCTAGTTGAATCTGACAGCCACAATTTAGTCATTTCAAATCTTTCAAATCTGTTTTTGCATTCATCATTGTATTTTTGTTTAATAAGTTTTTGCTGACAGATTCTATATCACAGACAAACGATCCAGCATCCTTTGATTAATTTCAAAAGAATTAGATCTGAAACTGACTATTCAATTCTTTCGAAAACAGTGAATTTTTGCATGATTGGTAAGAGTCTGATCTAAAATATTTCCAATTAATTTTCTTAAATTGAACATACTGTTGAAGTGGTTTTATAAACTGGTTTTAAAATACCTCATTTTTTAGTAAAAGCTTTCAAGACACATTTACAGTCAATATACATAATTCCTATAAAAGCTAAAGTGAACCCAAGTCCAAAAGTAGATGTCACATTTTTGTTCTTTTTATTTCATCTGCTTCGTCTATCTCCTCATTACTTAAAAAAATGAAAGTTGTACAAAATTGGCTTAAATATCTGGTTCAGTATTTTCCTTTTGAAGGCCATAAAAAATACTGAATAATAGACAATACCTTAATTCCTCGTTCTTCTTCTGTTCGGTCATCTGCTGACTGGGATAGGACATTCCATCGACAATCGGAATCAGACAAATATCCTCGAAATATTGGAGTAGCAGCACTGAGTGCTAACTGCTCAATAATTTATAAAAGAAAATTTTTAATTAGAAAAACATTTGAATTCTTAAAGAAGTGTAATATCAAATAATATGTTCTTTGTTAAATAAAATAAAAAACTCTCATCAAATTTGAGTGAAGCTCAAATCAAAACTTTTTCAAGTATTCCTGAATAAAATTTGTTCTTTTATTCATTAGGAGAATAACTGTATTCATTATTAAAATAAGGGAAATAAAAGAGTACTATATGCTTGTAAAATATTCATATTCCCAATTCATTTTCTTTTTTTAACCATTTCATCCCAAGCAATACGATGATGCTGCTAAGACTCAAGGGGTTACTTGGCATAAAAGACAATGAGAAGACTTTAGTGAGGAAAAAGGAAAAAAAAAAAAACAGGTTTCAGGAAGAAAGAAGATGGCAATTGACATTAAATTTAAATTTTTGAAGATTGCAGATGGCAAGAAAACAAGAAAGTGAGTTTCAGAAGTGCAAGAAAAGAAACTATTAGAATAGAACTTACAGTTACATTTAGCTATTATAACAGTAAAATTATGAGACCTAACAGCCAATCTAGTATTATGCTTAAGAGGAGAGCTCATTAGGGCAACTTCCACAAAAATATTTATAGAAAAGACAGATGCAAACCATGTCACAGTGGTGGGAAAGTGACTGAAGTTGAGATGCCAGGTCAGGACTGATAACATTACAGACCCTTCTTTGGATTTTATAAAGAATCTTGAGATATATAGCTGGAGCACCAGACCAGATATGGCAGCAATATTCAATGCATAGATGAATGGTAGATTTATAAATGTGCAAGGTGGATTCTAATGAGAAAAAAATATTTAGCATGACACAGTGAACCAACATTCTTGGCAAGTGATTTAATATAATCCACTCTACTTCACGTCAGTAGAAAGCCTGAGAAAACATGAGACCAAGAAGGTGCAATGTTTTGCTCTCCTGGAGGTTAGCATCAGCCATGATGATGGAGGACAAAAATGGTTCTCTATTATGCTTAAATGATAGCAGTTTTGTTTTGGAGGCATTAAAATTTACAAGTCATCTCTTGCCCCAGTTAACCACTGGTTGGAAGTCATTTTCAAGAGGAGCTGCCAGTTTTACTTTATCAGACACTAGCAGCATGGCCTGGCGTTGCCCTGCTTGATTCAAAAATCATACGACTCATACAGCAATCGCTATCACTTGACTTAAAATATTTTTGCCCTTCCTTGCCTTTAAAGGAGTGCCCTTTGCCGTACTGATGTTGCTACATGCCTTACTTCTTGCCTATCTCACACTGCGAATTTTTTCTAAGCTCTATACTAAACATTAAATCTGTTACGAAAAAAGAACTAAACAAAATGAACACAAAACAATCAGCTTTAAAAAAGGACTCGTAACTGGAAAAACTGAATGAAAAAAGAATGTTAACAACGTATACTTTTTCACACCCAACCCAGTTCTGCGGAATCAGAATCAACATTGAGTTTAAGCAAGCAAATGAGCCAATTGGAGTAAAGTGCCATGCAGATTTAAATTTTTCACACTTGTGACGAATGCAGCTATCGATTTTTTTTTGCATGCTAGTTAACATTCATGTCAGTCGGCTGTTGGCTCTCACGCTGGCCAATAGAATCTTCCTGCTTATTCGTGGCAGCCAGCTATAGGCTCTCACTCTCGCCAGTAGAAAATGGCTGCAAACTACATGAAAACTGCCATAGAAGCATGAAAAAATCAATTATTTCCACTATCGATGGGAGTTGGGAAATGCAAAGTCAGTCTTGGCCTTCCTGCTAACTTGGAGCATGTGCATGTAAATTTTGGTGCAAATCCGTCAAAAAATTGCGACTGTGCATTCGTTACACACACACACACATCCTGCCTTTTATAGATAGAGATATTTGACTTACTATTAAGATAGAAGTACATAGTTGTGTCATCAGCATAAATACCTAGTTGGGAACTTATGACATCAAGAAGATCATTGATGAAGATAAGAAACAACATAGGTCCAAGGATAGAACTTTGGGAGACCCTAAGTTAATGTGAAATGATCTAGAAATGTGGTTGTTCAACACAACCTTTGTTACCTGATTCATTAAGATTTGATTGAATTGATTCAAATATTCTGCCAGAGTCACCATACACCTTGTGGAAAAGGCCAGTATGCAATACCTTGTCAGACACCTTTGCGGTATCTAAAGCCACTGCTCAAGCCTCACCGTTCTTATTTAAAGCCTGACAGACAAATTCAGTGGTAACATTTAACACATCAGCTGTTGACTTAGAGAAACAAAAGTCATATTTTTTATCTGAAAGAAGGCTGTGCGAAGTGAAATGCTTAACCAATTCATAGTTGATTAAAGCCTCTAGTATTCATTTTATCATAAAAACTGATTCCATTCTCTCTACAAATATATAAATATTGTTTGCAGAAAATCTACTTAATCTTTTTTAATTTATATGTTGAACATAGGCAAGAGGGTTATGTAAAACTTAAAAATGCCCTCAATAAAGAAGTCATGTCCCAAATTTCAATTAGTCAATATGTTTCATAAAAAAAATAGATAATGTGTTATTTACAAGAACATGGAAATGTAATCATTCAATTCAGAGACTTTTGTTATCCTTTGCAATTTGTTTAAAAGATTCACTATTTAGGGAAGTTTTATTACAGGGTTTTTTATTGTTAAGTGATTTGATATAAAGATTCAAGTTAGATTCATTCAAATAATATCAAAAGTATATTAAGAATTTACTCACCATGATTGGGCAGAGTGGGGCCAAATTGTCATACATGATGAAAGCTTCTTGAATGTTACTTGCTTGGACTGTTGTCTGTAAACAGCAACAACTGAACCCAAAACCAACAGCATCCATGAAAATATGATCAGGTTTTGCTAGTCTCTGGTTTTGTCCATCACCTCCATTTTGAGAAAAGTCTTCCACAAAGGGAGATAGTGTGTTCTTATCTTTGAAGACTTCAATATTTGCCACAAGTAATGAGATTTAAAAGAAATTTAAAACATTGAGTTAGGAAAATGCTATTTAAGTTTTATTCTTTTATGAAGAAATTTTTTTCTATGGAATTTAGAAAAGAATAATACATGCATTTGGATGAGTTATTAAAGGTTGTCAGAAATTATTTCTTCAAGTAACAGTATTTTTTAAACTATCATTTATACAATAAAATTTCTTTAATTTCTCCTCTTTTTTTCCTTTAACCATAAAAGAAAATGAACTATCCAAAACAAAATAGGTAAAAATCATTTCAAAGTGAGTTTTGGTTCAGGAGTAAATTACAAGGGAAGTGAAGTTTCCAAATAAGAGTTCTAAAGAAAAAAAATTAACTGATCAGAAATCAGAACTGGCTTTTAAAACCATTCCAACTTTTGGTAGTGTAATGGGATTGGTTTAGCTAATAGGTAATTATCATAAAGAGATCTGTAACTCTAGCTCATGGGCAACTTTGAGTCAGTATATGTAGAATATCTACAGCTACTAAGTTTGATCATCATAACAAAATGGCAGAGCTCTGTTGAACACAAACAAACCTGAAAACATAAAGATTTGGATAAGATGCTTTGAGGCATGTGCCAGAATAAAGAAGTTACAAGATGACCAAACACCTGAAAGACAGAAAGAAATCATGGATCTATTTTTGGCCAATGTGGGATGTGAAGCCATTATGCAGATTTCGTTAATGACTTACCTGGCTGAAATTGAAGACTTGACATTTAAGCAAGTCAAAGAAATAATATTGAGAAATATTCAACCAAAGAAAAGATTGGTCATAGCTGAACAAACCAATTTCTTAACACTGAAACAAGAATTTGGAGAGCCTATAAGGAAATATCTAAGAAGGTTAACAGATACCAATAGATATTGTGAATTTCACGAACAAAAACAATAAGGAATAAGTAGAGGAAGAATTAATTCAACTCTGATTAGTAGAAGGACTGTACAACACCTCTCATAGAGTAAAAATTTTAGAGTGGTTACAGACAAACCAAATGATTTTAGAAGCTTGTATTGACTTCATACAACAAGAGGAGTTAAGTGAAAAATTTAATACAAATGAAAACCAACCTGAGCTTATGGACACGTGTGCAATAAAAGAACAATGATAAAATGCAGATATCCCAACTATAAACATGAATAAAAGGGAGAGAAATGGGGACAGACATGTAATAAGTGCAAAAAGAAAAGTCACATTTAAGTTGTATGGAGATGGTGAGATACAAATGTAAAAACTGTCAAAATAATACACAACAATGTAAAAAGTCAAACAATAGAAGGAGAAATGAAAAAAAAAACATACAAAAAGTTGAGGATTAATTTTTGCATTGGGTGGAAACAGATGTGTTGCCCATGAATAGACTAGTTATGGAGACGTTACAAGATCCAGTCTTAAGTTGAATTTTATCTAGAATAAGGAACAATAAATGGAGTAATTGTTCAAAAGCAGAAAGACCATACAAAGAAACCAGACACGAACTAGCAATAGAATCTAATTTATCATAATTTATAGTGGGGATTTAGTCATACACCAGAAAAATATAGAAAAGAAGTAATTAAAAGCATACATGATGATGTGCATTGTGGGATAACTGCTATACAAAAACAGTTAAAATTGGAAGCGTGTTGGCTGGGACACACTCAAGATGTATGCAAATGTCCTAAATATGCTGAAATAAAAAATTTTCACCACAATAAGTTACACTCTTGGCCTAAGGAAACAGAATCACAGTTTACAGTTCATATGGATTGCGCACAAGTTAACAGGGCAGGTTTATGTCTAATATAGGTTGACGCTTTTTCTGCCTGGCCTGAAGTTTTCCGGGTTCATGATAAAAAATCTATTACTGTAAAACAAATATTATGCATAATATTTGCTAGAAATCGAGTACCAAAAACACTAGTAACTGATAATACTCCCAAATTCTGTGAGGAAAGTCTATGCTCATGGTTAAGGAAAATGGGCTGTGTCTCATATAAAACACCTCCTTATCACCCTCAATCAAATGGGATTGCTGAACAAATGGTCCAAACAATAAAGATGGGATTGAAAGCATTTTCTTCTCAGTAAGAAAAGATTGAAACTTTCCTACCGAGATTATTGTTGAGTTATAGAACAATATCACATACTGACAGATTAGAGATAAAAACGAGCTGGAAAAGGTGAATTTCATAATGCAAAAAGGATGCAACACAGCATTAATATGCAAGAGTGGTAAAAATATTGTTGCCCATGCAGACCAGTTGAGAGCTAGCCAAAATTACAAGAAAGTACAAAGCAAAGCTAGTTCTAATGACTATGCAGATGAACAAGAAAGCAGGACAGAGGAATCAGTGGATGATCAAAGTTCTTCAGAAGTCTCTGAGTATGAAACATGGGACACTGAGAATAAAAGAACTAGGTCAAGGTCCTCTATAATGAAAAATACTCATGAAACTAGTGAGAGGGGGAGGGAATGTAGGAGAAGCCATAGATCCACATAGGTCATGAAACCCAAAAGATTCAAGGAGATGTAATGGGATTGGTTTAGCTAATAGGTAAATAGCATAAAGAGAACTATAACTATAGCTCATGGGCAACTTTGAGTCAGTGTACGTAGAACATCTACAGCTACTAAGTTTGATCATCATAACAGGTAGGAATAAAATTCTGAAATTATTCTGGACTAAAAATAAAAATAACTGAGATGGAGATTCTTCTTCTTTTATGTGACATGTTCTTTCAGGACATGAGCGGTCATAGCTCTCCACAACTTCCTATCTTTTACAGCTTTAAGTAATGAAATAGAGATTAGTAATTTAAAATAATTTAATAATCCTAGAAAACTGTAAAATTGATAAAGAATAGTAATATTTAAAATAACTCTTAAAATATTTACAATAATTGTTTATGAAATTTGTTGTGTTATTCCTAACAGGAAGCAATGTATAAATAAAACAGGAAACAATGTTTATATTTGATAACAATGGTCATATTTGATACTGGTTTTTATTAAATTTGTGGAGACATGGTGGAGTAATGGATAGCAGTTCGAATTGAGGAATTGGGGAGCCGAGTTCGAATTCCAGTTGAATCCATTACATTGACTTAGGTGCTAATACCCTTGGGAAAGGTATGAATCCTCTTCTTCTCCCCCAGCTACGGGTAAATAGCCGAATAGACTGGGTTCTATAGCCTTGGATGGCAATTGGTCTACCACAGAAAGAAATGGCAACCTACTGCAGGAAAAAAATCTGCCTTGTCAGTCATGTATTGAAAGATACATGATCGCCTAAGCATGTATCACGCATGGCACATAACTGAAAAATAGCTTCTTTAGGAAGACAAACCTTCATCAGATCCTATAGACTGGCACTCCAGAATCCCAAAAATCTTTACCAAATAATAAAAACCATATCACTTAAAAAATTCTAACAGCAACAATAACTAACATGGGTAGCACATGTAGGTGAAAGAGGAAGTAATGATATAATTGAGGTGATGACTTTCCACACTACCTTAAACAAAAGATTAAGAAATAAACTCCCATCAATACCAGAAAGAGTGATGATATAAGTGGACTAGAGAAGTCTATGTACCTGTGAAATATTTTATAAATTTCAATATACTCTCATGCTAACTGTTCAGTCAATGAATGCCAAATGTTTCCTGTATGGAAACAGCTGATCTCATTATTAACATTACTATATAAGGGTAGATTGATTGCATTATTTTTTCTGTTGTATAAAGAAGAAAGAAAGAAAAAGATTTTAATAATGATTTCTGAACATGAGAATTTATATTTTTTTAAAGCTATTTTCTCACCCTTCTTAACTGTTATCCACCTTTGTGAGTTATTTAAATCCAAAACATACTTTGTATGAGGTTGTTTACATTACCCAGTGTCCCCAAGCAGTTTCTCATTTAAGTACTGACTGGACTCAATGCTAGTTAACTTTGGTGATTGATTGCAAAGCGGTGTTTTCAGCATGATTTCACTGTAGGTGCACAAAGGATAAGGAAATAAAAAGATGTTATTGATGATTTCTGGAATGAGAGTTTATAATTGTTTTTAATGCTTTTTTCTCAGCTTTCTCATTGCATTATGGGAAGATAAACAATAGCTAATTACTTCAAAGGGAATATGATCAGGAAAAAAACTATGTGATATTTTCTGTTTATTGATACAATAAATCAATATAGGTTGTGCATCAATTAATTTAATCTCATAGTGTTTGTCAAGAATAACATGAAAAATGTTAACCCTTCTTAAATATTTTCATTTAATTTTTTTAAATCTTTAGTTTCATTATCATAGACTTTATCATCACACACTTTTTGGGTTTTTTGTTAGATAAGCGGGAATTGTTAAATAGAATTTGCAAAATTCTCAGTAACAACAATAATGAAAACAAGAAGAACAGAACAAAATAATACAAGAAATAAACAATGTAATACAAGGCAAAGTAAGGCAACTCTAAGAAAATAGCAAAGTAAAGCAATTATAAGATAGTAAAAAAAAAGAATGTTCATACTGTGGGGACCTACCTACAAATGGACTCTTCCACACCTATATAATATGGCTACCAACTCTGAGTAAAGGGAGTCACCAAGTAAGGGTCACCATGTAGTAGACACCGAGTGAGTGAGTGAATGAGTGAGTCAGGACACCAGTGAGAGAAAGTACTCTCCAGTCCACATTTACCTTTGTACTACATTTCCGAGAATATACTATTTAACCTTATATCCGAATCCGTGTTATCTTTCTATGGTTCTACACCATAACACATACAAAAATGGGATACAGTCAGATGGTTATAGTCTTCTGACTTCAAGGCAATTGATTGATTCATTCATTCATTTTCTATGTCTTATCAACCAT